TTTGACTGGACGTGAACAGGAGACGTTCAGAAATAGAATCGGGACCAGGAAGTGTTAATATAAAGCGGCATGCAAGATTTACAGGCGGTTTTTTGCGCTTTTGCGGGAAATCGAACATATTTTTATGCTCATGTAAAAATTCTCTGGAAACGGGAGACCTAATTCTTGCATTTTGTGAAAACGGGTAAGATTGGCTATAATGTAATTATCTTAATCTTCACTATCGTTACTTTTTGCCCACAAATAAAAACCCAGCGAAGCAGGTCCTTGCAGCTAGTAATATATATATTTTATATTACATATTAATGTACAGGTACAATCCTACTCTTAATTTTATATTTAAAATTTTAATATGAAGTTATTTCTTTAATATTATATTCTTTTGAATGATTTTCTTTATAAAAACAAAAATCTTTCCTCGTCCAAACGAATAAGAAAATATATAATTAAATTTATAAAAAACATATTAGTTTTAATTTTGCACTTACGCAATTTTCTTTCCATTTCATCGCATCTTCTAACTTCATTGACAAACTTTCTTTGAAATGCATTCACATCAGGGTTTAACTAGAAAATTTTATAAAAAAGGAAGAAAAATTATCATTTATTTTATTAATGAGAGTAATAATGATAGTTGGTTTTATTTTAAAAACTTAAAATTAAGCTCTGAAATAATGCAAAAATAATTTAGTAAAAAAAATTTCAAATATCTTCACAAACTCCAATCTGAATATAGTGATCTACTTTTTTAGGCTAAAATTCAGTGGTTGATTCATGGAAAATGCTTACAAAGATTTTGAAACTTGAGGGCGAAAATTTGGATTTTTATGAATGAAAATGGCCATGATATTTCTGAACAATTAACAATGACTTCTAGATTCATGTTTTGTAACAGATATAGCAAAAAAATTAAATGAACTAAATCAAAAGTTTCAAGGTAAAAATAAATTGAATACAGATTATTATCAAGATATAAAAGCATTCATAACAAAACTCAAGCTTTATGAAAGTCAACTGAGGTCAAATAATGTCATTCATTTTCATTATTAAGTGACTTTAATAGTAACCACATAGATTATTTGAATTGTACAAATGAAGTCACATAATTCTTAAAAGCATTCCAAGACAGATTTTCAAATATTCATAAGTCCATTTAGCATTTTCAAAGATTTTCAAATATTCATAAGTCCATAATATACAATCAGAATATTCAAATTTGCAAATGCAATTAATCATTCTCCAAACAAGTACAAAATTACAATATATGTTTGAAGACAATGATAAATTTGAATTTTACCAAAAATATATTCAAGATAATAAATTTCCCAATCAAACAATTGGCCATGTGCATCACTGCTAAAATTCAAACTACCTACCTCTGAGAATCTTTCTTTTTGAAAATGAAAATTGTCAAATCAAAGAATCTAAACAGAGGGTGAATGAATGGACTGCATTGCACATTGAATAAATTGTCAATGATATTAAAAAATTAGCAAATAATATAAAAAACAAGCTTTTCATTAAAATTTAATGTAAATGTAAAGCTTGTTTTTTTTTGTTTTTAATTTTTGATAATCTAAATAAAATATCGTGATTAATCTTTTGCCTATTTTTATATATACAGCTCACAGTAAGCCAGCAATATTTTTTTTCAGCCCAATAAACTATTTCAACTGGACATAGCTGTTCTATTACTGTATATAGAATTCTTTTGTACTGGTACTTATTATTAGGTTAAAATGGCTGTATAATTATTCTGAAACCATTTCTAAAAAAAGGACTATTTTGACTGCCTAAAAAAGAAAATAGTTTGATCCTTATGATTTTGGATTTTGTGAAGCACCAAGATTTACTGCTGTTATGAATGATTTCAAAACATTTTCATCCGAGTTAAAGATTTGTCTCACTACTACTCCACTAATTCCAGTTAATTGTTCAAGAATTCAAATTGCTAACATTTGATCCTCAGCAAAGATTTCTCAATGCAATCTGTAGTATACAATGTGCATAGATAACTCAGTTCTTTCACCATCATCCAACAATTCCACCATTTCTAAAAGCTTATGCCTCTTGAACATTATTAAACATAAGCAACTCTCTCCATATGCCTTTCTCAACATTTCATTTGTTTCAGTAACTGATTTTATTTTTGAGTTTTAAGCAAAATTTGATCACAACTTGCTCTTTCATGTTTAAAATTGTAATACAAGAAACAATGCTAAGTAAAAACTTGAATAACTTACCAGTCAAACAATGCAATTCAATAAACCTGCATTTACCTGAGATGAATGTCTAATTACTTCAATAGTCAGCCAAGTGAACAGACCACTAGTAACAAGACAAGAAAATTGGTTCTGAACCTAATTGTTGCACTGTAATCATTTTCAGAAAATTTCTTATGTAAAGTATTGAATAACATTTTAAGATTATGATAAAGAATGTGTGATTCAAAAATTTTCTTTACAATACAAACAATACCAATCATGTAAATGAATGAAACATTCCAAAAAACTTAATATCAGACCAATGAAGAACTTTCAATATGATAAAGATAAATATTTTCAACCTACACCTAAGATCTGCTTCAGGTCNTCTTTTAAATACCACAGATACCCAGGTAATACGGTTTTGTACCTGATTCCCAGTTATATAAACTTATCAAATAATTTCTAGTCAAACTGATCATCAGAATAAAACCATTTATCAACTGTATAATCCTATTTAAAATGAATGTTATGAATATTATGATAATCTACATCTATATCTATATATAAAAATGGACATGTATGTCTCTATATTTCACTTTTCCACCAAAACTACACATTGCACATGAATGGTGTTTGTATGTGGTAGTAGCCCCAAGTCTCCATTCGTGCACTGGGGGGGTTGCATCTCGATAGCTATAAAGGTGCTGGAGATATGGGCTTGAAAGTGGTTGAAAGTGGCTTTCTATTTCAAATGTTTTGTTCAAATTTAATTCGAATAATGTTCGAATTTGTTCGAACAAATTCGAACATAAAATTCGAATATTGGTTTGATTATAGAACGATCGTAAACGTTCCAGAAACGTTGAAAATAGTTCGTTTGACTAAACGTAAAAATTCTCTAATTAGTCTGGAAACGGGGGACCTAATTCTTGCATTCTGTGAAAACGGGTAAGATTAGCTATAATGTAATTATCTTAATCTTCACTATCGTTACTTTTTGCCCAGCGAAGCGGGTCCTTGCAGCTAGA